CTCAGAAGTATATATCCTCAGGGATAGTAACGTTTATATGCTGTAACTCTCAGTGATGGGTAAGAACAAGTTACTGTGATGACTGAATGTAAGAGTCAGTTAAATTGTTAAGAACACACATTTTTGGAACAAAAATTGGTAAGAACACAGATTTCTTGTTCAAATTTCAGTTCTGATGTTTACTAACTAACATGTGGCCTTGGCCAACTTATTTATTTATTTTAACATTTTATTATTTTAATTTTTTTTTTTTTTTTGCTAGAGATGGGGTCTTGCTATGTTGCCCAGACTTGTCTGGAATGCTTGACCTCAAGCGGTCTTCCCACGTTGGCATCCCAAAGTGTTGGGATTGCCTATGTGAGCCGTCATGGCCAGCCACTGACTGATTTATTGATGTCTCTGTGCCTCAGTTGTTTTTTTTTTTTTGTCTCTAAAATGGAGGATAATAATACCTACCTTGGCTGGGCTCAGTGGCTCAGCCTGTAATCCCAGCACTTTGGGAGGCCAAGACACGAGGATTGCCAGAGCCTGAGGGTTCAAGACCAGCCCGGGCAACTTGGCAAGACTTTGTCTCTATAATAAATAAAAAATTAGGCAGGTAGGGTAGCGTGCGTCTGTAGTTCCAGCTCCTTGGAAGGCTGAGGCAGAAGGATCCCCTGAGTCCAGCAGGTTGAGGCTGCGGTGGCCGTGACCCTGTCACTGCACTCCAGCCTGGGTGACAGAGTGAGATTCCAACTCAAATAATAATAATAACAATACCTACCTCATAAAGTTATTGTGAAAGCAAGTGGGTTAATATAGATCAAGCACTTAGAACTCTGCCTGGCTTATAATTCAGCATTGCATAGATAATTTTATTATCCTGAAATCGATTACTTTCCTTTGCAATTTTAACAAATTCAAAATAATTAGTTCATAACTGAAGACTTTCTTTCCACTACTTTTAATAGTTTTCTCATGATGACACAACTCTGTTCAGAGAGTCTGGAAGCCTTTTCTGTCTGTGTTGACATTCCTTTTATTTTTTCTTTAATGTTTTATATGTTCATTTGCTCATTCAGTCGTTCTTATTTATTGAACACTTACTATGGTGCTTGGATAGCCAGCAAGGAACAAACAGACACATTCTCTGCTCCCCCCCGAGCTTATGCTCAAATCTCAGAGCCAGACAATGAACATTAACAGGGCACGATTGACCAAAACTGTCCTCGTGACACCCCGACCCAGAGCATTGGTGGTGCCAACATCGCTTTGAAGCACTTGTGTATTCCTCCATTCCCTGCTAATATAGGGATTATTAACTAAATTATTAACTCAATAAATAACAAAAAAACTTATTTTTGCTTTCAAAAAATTATTATGCTTATGTAAACGAACAACGTGGGAAAATTCGGTTTGGAAATGGGGTCAGTGCTCTTACTTAATTTGCCTTTTCCCCACTGATAGCATCAATCTATCTTCCTTATTAAAAAGCTTCATGGAGACTCATTCTCAAAGTTGGGAAATTCAGATGTCGTCGTAAGTTTATCAAAAGTTCTCAGAGTGCTCACACTTAAGACTGTGAGAAAAGGATGCAACTGAACGGTAATATATTAACAATATGTGTTGAAACAACGGTTCCTTGTTGATTGTATACACAAATTTCTAATAGTTCTTAACAGCACCATTTCCTCTGCGTATTATGTAGGAAATGCTTTAGTCTGAATAATCATTCCCAGGGGAAAAAGCCTTCAAAATAAATTCACTTGATAGAGTGAATGTGTTGAGAGAGAGAGAGAGAGAGAGAGAGAGAGAGAGAGAGAGAGAGATTATTGTAGACTACTGAGTCAGTCATGCACATATGCCTAGTATAATTAAAGATCATAATTTGAAGGTAGCAACAGCATCTAATCATGTGAGTTACTCTGTAAGTTGTCACCTGTTTGTTTAAAAATAAACCAATAGCAACAATAGACCTTTAACCTAAAGGCTAAAGAAAACAAAGGTGGGTGGGGGACCAGGTTTTCATAAAACAAAACAGAGAACTCTATCTGGATAATTGCAGAAGAAATAACACCATCACTCTTCATGGAATTGCCTAGAGCCATAAAAGCAAAGTGGATTATTTCTCCTCAGTCATCTGGACATTTGGCTACACTCTTTACCAAATGATGTCTCTGGTTTGGAGACATCCATAAAGTGAACTCTTAGCAGGGGTGCAATGACACCCTCCTAGAGTTCTCTAGGTGGTTTTCACCTGGGGCTGTTGCATATGGCGTGTGTGTGGACAGTGTGTGTATTTCAAGTAGTCAGCTCCCTACACCCACCACTTTGGACCTTTTTGAAAGTTCTCCCGGTGATTCTGGATTATCTCATTCCCTGCTCACACACTTTCTATTCCCATCAGAACTCACTTTTAGGGACAGTGAGTAGATTAAGTTTCTAAAAGAGCCATTAGTGTTCTGAAAGAGTCAGTTAATTACACATGAGAGCTCTTTTATCTTAATAAACGTCTTTTTTTAAAGTCAAGGTTGGCTGAGACTCAGAAACACTGAGTCTGAACAAATGCAACTTCATATGTGTAAGGAGAAAGGATGCATGCTGTCAGTGTGCTGGCCAAGATGGGGAGAGAAGAGATGTTTTCTAACGGGCTGAGGTATGGGGCGGGTGGGTCAACTAACTTTGGAGGCAAGGGTCATGCATACAGGAACACCTAGCATAAGGTATGTGACCTTAGAATAGTCAACCCACATCTCTCTTTGGTCATCTTCACTTTGCATGTCAAAAAAGGTATCTTTATTTTTTTATGTTTATCAGTTTATTTTATTTTTTGAGTTGAACTCTCACTCTGTTGCCCAGGCTAGAGTGGAGTGGCACACTCATGGCCACCCCAACGACCCGCTGGACTCCCGCAATCCTTCTGCCTCAGCTTTCCAAGTAGCCAGAACTACAGGCATGTGCCACTATGCCCAGCTAATTTTTTAAATTTAGTGTAGTGATGAGGGCTCACCAAGTTGCCCGGGCTGGTCTCGAACCCGCAGGCTCAGGCAATCCACTTGCCGTGGCCTTCCAAAGTGCTGGGTTGATGACTGAGCCACAGAGCCTAGCACGTTTATCAGTTTATCACAAAAGATAAAGATCAAAAGATGCATAGGGTAAGGTATGGGAAAGAGGCATGGAGCCTCCATGCCCATCCTGGGCGGCACCCACCAGGAACCCCCAAATGTCCAGCTATCCGGAGGCTCCTTGAACCCTGGCCCCTTGGGTTTTCATGGAAGCTTCATGAAAAAAGAAGGTATCTTTAAATCAATAAATTGATCTCAGGAAGAGATGCAACTTTTATGATGGTATTGGTGAGATTTTTGTCAGTGCCATGTTCTAGCTTGTGAATCAATAAGGTTCTACCTCTCTCTCTCTCTCATCTCTATCTCTGTCTCTGTCTACCTCTATATGTCTGTCTTTCTCTCTCTCTGTCTCTGTCTGTCTCTCTGTCTCTCTCTTTTTTTTTTTTTTTTTTTGAGTTGGAGTCTCACTCTATCACCTAGGCTAGAAGGAAGTGACACGCTCATGGCCACTGCAGCCTTGACCTGCTGGGCTCAGGTGATCCTTCTGCCTCAGCCTCCCAGGTGTCTGGAACCACAGGCATGCGCTACCACATCTGGGTAATTTTATTTATTTACTGTAGAGATGAGGTCTCTCCAAGTTGCCTGGGCTGGTCTGGAACCCCTGGGCTCAGGTAATCCTCTTACCTCTGCCTCCTAAATTGTCTGTATCTCTTCCTCTCTGTCTGTCTCTCTCTCTGTCTTTCTCTAGTCTCTCTGTCTCTCCCTCTGGTATATGTCTCCCTTCCTATTTTACCTGTGGCCGAGAGGACCTGTTTCATTTCCCCTTATTGCTGATTTTACATATATAATTAGTAAAACAGTCCCGAGGGTTAGTTAAACATGTATACTTCTATGAGAGAGAATAAAGCAAATGAGATCTCCTGAGACACTCTCCACGTGAGAGCTCAGGGCAGAAGGGACCTCCTCTGGTGTGGAGACTAGGGGGTTAACTTAGGGAGGCACCCTGTCAACCCCAGTAGTGTCTGAGCCTGGGTCCTGGACTGGTTACCATTTACCATGTGTCCCTTTGAATGAATGGCCTGAGTGAGAATGCCAGGCTTTTGCTACTTACCCCTCGCCCCTTTCAAAATCATGATGCTGTTGACATTCCCGTGTGGCCACCTTTTTTTTCCATGTCGCCCAGGTGCCGAGCTGGACGGGTCTGACGGGACTGGGTGAGTGATCCAAGCCACAAAGAGTCACACCAGCATCAGAGCTGCTTGGAAATGATCTCCGGCTGAATTTCCCCAACAGCGGTGATGCACTTTTAAAAGCATTTTTTTTTCTTTCAGAACATTTGTCTGAGACAGCCTCATTGAGAAGAATATCGCATTAGCGAATTGCTCTGCCTGAGACAACCGCTGCTCTGTTTCTTTTCAGGTTTTCAAGCCCAGGTCCCCACTCTCAGGGTGCAGAGACAATCATTACCCCCGTGGATGAGCAGAAGTCCTTAAAAGGGCTGCCAGGCACAGCCTCTGCAGGGCCGGGGCTCTGTCCACTGATAACCCGGCTGCCTGGGAAGCCAGAGCCTTCCAGCTTCTCAGCTGTTGACAGGCTCGCCTTGCTGAGAACACGGGTTAAATATAGCAGCGAGCTCAGCTCCCCCCAGCAAAGTCATCGGCCCACGGTGCTGGGGATGGAGCAGAGAGGAGAAACCTAATCTCAGAACCCCAACACCTAGCAACAGTTGGAAAAACTTCTAAACACAAGTCTGGGTGGGAGGACACAGCTCCCAACTTGTGCCGGTCGGGATTTCGGGGAGAAGAAGCTGCCTCCCCTCTCTCTGCTCAGCTTCCTGCATGACTTCAGCTGTTGGCCAGTCCTGGGAAAGAGAGTGGGAAAAAGCGCTCTCCTCCGTGTCCTTTTGGGCTGGCTAGTTTTCTAGAACTCAAGTCTGTCCTGGGCTGCAGCCGAGCTGCTGGGTTCTCCAGAGGACCGACTACCTCCACGGGGAACGTGCACTTGGGGAACAGGCAGCCAGCAGGTAAGACCAGAATCGACAGCTCCTGACTCTCTTAAGAGATTTCTGCTTCCACCAGATGCGAGTTCTCTCTGATTCTGTTCTGTTTCCTTTGCTTCTTCCTGTTCCACTGTGCCATTAGAGTATGGGGCAGTCGTGATCATCACTGTGACTTATTTTCAAAAGTCAGAAACACCATCTCTTTGCCAGACTCACACCGATTCCTTCTTAAGACCGGAGAATTTTATGACATCTTAATGGCCATCAGAGCCTCTCTGCCAAGCTAACACTCTTCGGCAGGTAACAGAAATGCCACCAAGGATAAGATCGCGGTTCCTTTCACCATCAGGGTGGTTAAGCAATGGGGAGGGTATTTCCCTAGAAGCAAAATAACTTTCTCCATGTGGGACGGAGCCGGGCAGCTTATGAGGAAAGCCCCAGGCAGTGTTTGCGTGGCTAGACTTCTGACATGCCGCCTACCCGGTTCTCCGATGACACTGGTACACCTTGTGCTGGTCCTGATCTCGACACACACAGTCATCCCAAATGTTTCTAACTAGGCACAGAATATGCCTGGCAGGGTTCTCGCAGCTGTTGGATAGAACTGCTCGGAGCACACCATTTGTGTGTTTTTCAAAAAATAATTTGAGTAATTACTGTGCGATTATAACAGATTCTGTTCTCAAACACTTACATGGAATTCACTAGGAAACTTTTTTAATATTTTATTTTAAAGATGTGGGGTACAGTTCAGGATTATGTATACAAGTGGCCATCGTACAGGTAAAGTTTGGGCCTCCCTCTGGTCCCCGCTTTGTCTGGTTTGAGATCAGGTTCCCTTATGGATGTTGTGACCCCGCAAATCTCCCCATCCCGGCAGAATCCTGCTACTGCCAATCCCTTTCGCATAGTGTTACAATAAAGGAGGAAGCATCTTTTCTTAAGTTGCATGTGTGTGTGTACAAATGTGTTCCCTAAATCATGAAGGAAATACTCCTTTCATCTGGAGGTATATTGTCTCCCCTTGATCAGTGGCCATGCGATTTTTTCAGAGTTGCTTGCAGTGATCAGATTCGTGATGAAACTGGTGCATTCTGGGTACTTGGTGATGTGGTCAATGCTGACGCCTGGTTGGCTGTGGCCGGACTGGACGTGCTAAAAAGATGTTTGCCTAAATGAGCTTGATTAATTTGAATGAATATTCAATCTAAGGATAATCTCCAAAAAGACACAGAGGCACACTTCAAAAGGAAACTTTGAGTCGATTTTGTCCATGGGAGGAAATAATTCACCCAAGGCCAGTTTTGAACAAATTGCTTGTCGACAAATAAGAATATATTAACCTTTTCAAAAATGTCCCTCTTTTAAGAAAAGCCAATGAACGTTTATATATAGTATGTTCAGGAAGATAAAATAAGACTCACATTTCTGTACATATTCTGCTTTATAGTTGACTATTGATTCGTTTACAAAGTAAGTTTGTTAATCCTATATAACCAAATATATACAAATAATATTGCAAAATGCACTCTGGTAAGCTTTAGTGGAGACGAACCATCTTTGTCTTGAAGGGATTTTGGAAAGTCAGAACTAAATGCTTTACATTTTTCTTGTTTTTTCCTAAGAATGGTCGCATTGTTGGCTTACACATGTATGTGTAAGGCCAAAATCTACCCTTCGTTCTGGGTTTCTAGGATTTCTTTTGGAGTCAGCGGGACAGTGTGGAGATAACTCAGTTAGTTGTCTAAGGCGCAAAGGGCGTCTGGCCCTGTGTAAAAGCCATGCTTGTTTATAAAGTACATTTTCGAGCATCATGAACGGTCATGGCGGTTGTATGTTTACCCTTGAGAACCAAGAACAGGTCAGGTTAAACCACGTGGCTTTCTCCACCACATGAATGATCACGCTCTCCACGACAGCGCAGACCGGTCCCCCTCTTTCCTCAGGTTCGCATTTCCCTGATCTTGAGGGAACTCTCTCTTCCCTCGCTCTGCAAAAGTTGTGCCATCCCATTGCCCTGCCCTCCACCATGCTGTGCGGCCTGTTCTCTTCACCCTTTGTCTGGATGCTGCTTCCCGGCCCTCGTTCCGTCCAAGTCGTCTTGTTCACGGCCACGAGAGAGATTTCCCTACAGCATTGTTATGCTTGTCTGTCTACCCTTCAGTTATCTTCCGGGGTTCCTTGTTGCTGTCAAACACCAAGGCCGGGTATCTTGAAAACCTTCCATCATCTGGTGCCTATTTCACTTTTCCAGTCTTACTACTATTCCTCAATGGCAAAATCCTTCTGCTTCAAAGGCATTTCAGCTTATGGACCAGTCTCTAAACCCATGCAAGATGGACATTTCAACGTCCCACTTTTGCCCATGTGACTGCCCTGCTGCAATACATTTGCTATCTATTGCTGCAGAAACCCTGGTCTACTCTTTTTTTTCTTTTTGTTTTGAGTTGGAGTCTCACTCTGTCGCCCAGGCTGGAGGGCAGGGGCACGCTCATGGCCACCCCAGCCTCTACCTGCTGGGCTCAGGCAATCCTTCTGCCTCAGCCTTCCAAGTAGCTGGAACTACACGCGTGCGCCACCATGCCTGGCTAATTTTTTGATTTTTTTGTGGAGACGAGGTCTTACCATGTTGCCCAAATTGGTCTCGAACCCGCGGGCTCGGGCAATCCTCTCACCTCGGCCTCCCAAA